ATTTATGTTAACTTAGGTAGTTATTGTATGTTAACTTAGAGTTTTCAGTAATGGTAACTTAAAAAGTTAATTTAGACGGAGTTTTTCCAGAAGACTAAACTTATAATTGATAATTGACTTGATGCATGTGAGGGATGAACGATCATGACAAAAATACGTTATTTACGCATGCGTATTAGCGTCCCGTCCGCCATGGTTTGAGCTGATTGAGAAGTGAATGTGGCCGGACCAGTGTCATCACTCCCACCATTGTCTCACAAACACCCGCCAGGCAAAATTCGCACTTATTTGTTCAAAAATAGAATGAACAAGTCCCTTCTGAAAGGTGAATGGCCCAATTCTCGGTTTCGAGGTTAAAAATAGCTTTTGGGTGACACTGAGATAATTCTAACTGTCACAGGATTCAGGCCGATAACACAGTTACCGACAGATGTTTCGCCTAGAGCAAGACGGCAAGAACCTGAGGAAGAGGAGCAAAAAGTCGTAAGATACTGATCAGTAGAGAAGCTGTGATACAAAACATCTTACAATCATAGTAGATTAAAGTGTTCCTCAGACTTACATATTTTATTTGTAGGAGCATTTGGAAGTTTCAGACGTTCTCCAATGATTAATCATTAACAAATTTAACTTGAAGGAAGGACATTATATTCTACATAATGTACTAACTTGTAGAAATGCCGTGTTTTACATAGGATGTTCACATTTCTGCATACTTCACCGTTCCAGAAAAACATCGATATTGACCTTGAGTGAAACCAAAATTAAACAACAGGGAGAAGGCATGCACCTTCCTAATTAGCAATTTGAATACTCGCAATTTAAATTCCTAGTATGCCTCCAAATGTAAAATGGACTTTGCCCATGCCATGGTACAATGTCAATGAGCATCGAAGTTTTCCCAGTAGATGTTAGAAGAACGTAACGTTTTCTGACAGTTTCTTTCATATGTACATATGGAGGAAGGTGCAGATCGGCTGCCAAAACACAACATCTGCTTGGAGAGAAGAAACGTGCAGCCCTGAGTACAGCGGACGGACACACATTCAAGTCAAGGACCGGAGATGGGACCGCTCCTGCTTTTTTTGTCTATCTCCTTTTGATAATCAACCTGGCAAAGTAAACAAAGGAAATGAGTGTGAAGGGGGTACTTTAGTTATGATCAAATCAGACATGAACAAAGACAAGCTAAACGTATTTTGGTATGAACAGAACCTGATATTTGGTAGAAGCATTCCATTTGAACGAAAGAACACCCTTT